TATGCACACAAATTTTTGCTACATTCGTTTGAATTTTCGGCTAATCCGGGACTAGTATATCGCTACCATTTTTCTGAAAATGCCAACTTTGACCGTGTAAGTTTAAGACAATACTTTAACTATCTCTTCACTAAGTTTCATTTAAATCGTACATGTATGTATTTTTAATTTTACATGTACGTTTTTCTAACACAATGTACAGGACTGTATATGAAATATATATACATGTACTACACATTTTTTTATTTTATTTTTAAATGACATATTAAATGGATAAAAGGTGTATGGAGTGAGATCTTTCCTCCTGCGTTAGGACAACTTCATTGTTCGGGGGTTGAACCCAGGGCCCCTCAACCCTGGCAACCTCCATTACTTTAACTCTATATGTAAGTACATATGCATACCTCAGAAATATTTATGTACATATGCGCATGGAAACCTGCTGCTGAGGAATTAAATTTCTTTAACAAAAATATTTCATTTTAATTACAGAACAAAAAGTGTTAACCCATTTAATACCTGCAGCGTCGATCTTACATGAACAGCTGCATAAAACCATGAATAAAGATCTACGCAAACCCATCAATACTCATGTGAAGTTTCACTGGAATCCAACGAGTAGATTAAGAGAAAATGTCGGACAAAATAGCGGCAAAAGCGGGAAAATATGGAGATACCATGTAAAAAATAAATACAAGAATTTTGTCTGGAGGACGGGATTTACAATAAGGATAGTTAATCAAAACATTTTTACTAGAATTATTTTCGATAAGGTTAATCAGTTTGGGAATATGTATATCCATATATAATAAATATGAAAATACATCTGTTACTTATTTCAAGAGAGATATCAAAGGGCAAGTGCAATATAAAAGTGTAAGTAATTTGTACACAAACTATGTGTTTATTAAACGTATACACAGGCAATGTTTGTATTAAACGAATCTCAACGTTCCAATGTCCATTTGTCAAGCTATGGCGGCGTGAACGATTGTAGAACACGTGTACAACGATATGACCAAATTATTAACTATATACATCACTCGATAACGCGACGTTGCGCGTATCAATAACGAGTGTGAACACATTGTATCGAATTGTTTGCAGAGGAATCTTATGTCCTTTATTCGAGCCCTGCTTCTAAAAAAGAGTCGAGAAAATGTCTGTATTGATTGTTTTGTCAGCCAAATACACTTATTTCTAGCGTTAAAAATCGGTTAGTGAGGTAGCACTATAAAGTCGGCATCAGTTCCGCGCTATCACAAGGAGACAAACACGAACATATCGCAGCCTCCAAAACACGTATACACTACGAGCAAGTATCTTGCACACAGGGTAGGCCGTCCTTAAATGACCATAGCTGTTGATAGGACGTGTAACAATACTAAACCAAAATAAAGCAATCTTATATTGAACCGGGGAAAATAAATGCATAGGCTAGAAGTAAAATAAAAAAAGTATATGTAGTTTAAAGTTGGCGTGTATCCGTCTAAAAGTGCAGGTAATCGAAAGCTAGTAATTACCAAAAACCTCTCGCTCAACTAGCTTCTCTTGAGGTCTTTTTATTACATAAAAACTTGTTTGCAAATGCAAAACGAATTGGCTTAACAATAAACTCCATCTTCTTGAAGACAAAAATTGCACAACTCTTGTATATGTAGATAAGAACATCCAAAGCGAATAATTATCTTGTTCGTATACATTATTTAACCATTTCTCGATTCTTAACATCATAACAAGATTTTGACAAGATCGATATCAACTTTACTATTTATCAAAATTAAACAACCATTTCTATGACTTAATTTCTAAATGAATTTTGATCAATTGTTTAACAAACACAAAAGAGAGAAGACTTAATATGAATTTTCTGATTTCAAACCTTCTATAACATTGGCAAATTCGCAAAATAAATGTTGTGAAGAATAAAACAGCAAGTTATTTGCAATTCAATCTAATGTGGGTTCATGTGCAACAAGTAGAGCAGACCGCAGAGAGGAAATTGTCCTCTCGCGACTGCTCATAGGCCACACCTACATCACACATGGTTACATTTTGCGTAAGGAAGACCAGCCTTTTTGTCATGCATGCGATCAACCATTAACAGTCGAACACTTTATGATTGAAAACGCTGATTTCAAACAAATACGTGACATATTTTATGATGTACCGTCGATGAAAAGATAACTCGATAGTTTCAATGCAATTAGTATATGACTATTTACACTCGATTGATCTTTACAAGAAATATGATATGTTGTGCAGCCAATTTGTTCGATATTGATGTATTTCTGTAATCCTTTACATATTTTAAGCTATTACGTTTTGGTTTGATGTGTTTATTTTCGTGAATGTTTCTTTCGACAGTACTGTTTGCCCTAAATGTCAAAACTAAAACTACAAAAAAATAAAACTTTAAATTCGACATCTCATCCGCACTATCACAAGGAGGCAAATACACCAACATACAACGCCACTAGAATATTGATACTCACACACGCATACACTTCACACATGGCAGCATGTCCTTAATGACCTTAGTTGTTAATATGACGCTTACCCATACTAAACCAAATTGAATAATTGATATCGATAAATGTGTAATCTGTCATTGTCCATCCTGCACTGATCCATGATGTTTTCTCCACGTTTCCGTGTCTCCTGGCGTTCTTTTAATAACAATCAGTCAATGAAGCCGATTTACTTAATATATAAGGACAATGCGCAAATCTTTAGCGGCAGTGCACCCAATGTAATTTGTTACCTGTGTTTCTGAATCTCGCTGTAGTTGAATGCATTTTAATCATTTTGGAATACAAATGCAATAATTCTATTTTTAATGGTTGTCAATTTGTCTGCACTTGTTTATGCATACGAATAACACGTCACGGCAAGGCGGAAGCGCCTGACAAGTTTCCCACTGTGCCTTTAATATCAATGCAATTGTTTCGTTCAATTGTTTAATCTACCATATCTCGCAATCGTCGATTTTATCAATTACGTCACACAGATCATAACGGAAAACGTCATGTACATCAAATTATAGTAGATGACGCATAATGTTAAGCATTTTTTTGATCGTTTTCGTGTGGGATTTTGCAGCGTTGTTTATTGACCTTTAGATTGCGTCTGGCAAAGTCAATGTTCGAATGCAGATTAGTCGAAAGTCCTGCTCTGAAATTATCACTTTGAATACACACCTATTGATGATTGTGATCATGTCACGATATTATTACGTATCCATATTTTAAAGTTACTCAAATAATCTTATTCTGATTGCTTGGTGTATTTTTCCCTTTTCGTGTTTTTAGAACAATACCTTTTTGGTATGATTATAATGGTATTGGTACAATTACCAGGTAATCAAAAGGCAGTTTTATAGCTACCACCTGTTGATTGTTTTACATTTGACAGATTTTAAAGCGTCAATTACAAATTGTATAAAGTTCAAGTGGCAAAATAAATGGAATAAAACAGTAGACAACAAATTACACCCTGTAAGCTAAACTATGTGGATGCTATCCCAGCTATAGAGAAAACTGCCGAGACGTGGTTGTTTTTGTCCGTCTTCGGATGTATCATTTGTACCTCAACCATCATTATTAATTGAAACGCGAGCATCAGCCTCCATGCATATCATGTCACGAACAACTTACAGTAAAACACTTGTTATTAGATTGCATTGACCTTCAGTCAACTCGAGAATTTATTTTATAATAATATAACAAATCTCAAATCTCTTTTGGAAACGTCACAACAATTCTAACCTAGCAAAAAAAAGTTTATCTATGTTAAAATAAGTACCTACATGTAACCATAACATTTTTTTTGCTTTTCAAGTTGACGTTTGCCTTTTGATCTTTTTATTAGATTACTATTATTCCCTTACATACATAGTAGTTCTGAAGGTCTCTTCTGTGTAATTAGTTCTTTAAGAATTTCAATATGTTAGATTTTGCAAAATAACATTAATATATGTTTAAGTTATCTGTCATTGTGGTTTCTTTACAGCAAAGCACAGCATGTTGATTAACAGTATATTTGATCAATCTGTAGTATATGTCTGGTGTATTACAGTATATTTGGCAAAACTACAGTTTGTCATCAATGACTTTTATACAATATGATATATCTACATTATGCCATATTCAGTAATGTTATAGTATGATTTATAAAGCATTTTTACATCATGTGAATTTAACAGCAAGTTATTTGCAATTCAACCTAATGTGTGTTCATGTGCAACAAGTAGAGCAGACCACAGATAGGGAATTGTCCTCTCGCGACTGCGCATAGGTCATACCTACATCACAAATGGATACATTTTGCGTAAGGAAGACCAGCCTTATTGTCATGCATGCGATCAATCATTTACAGTCTAACACTAAATGATTGAATGCGCTGATTTCAAACAAATACGTGACATATTTTAGGATAAACCGTCTATGAAAAGATTATTCGATACAATTTCTGTGCAATTAATATATGACTATTTACACTCTTTTGATCTTTACAATAAGATACAATATATTGTGCAGCCAATTTAATCGATATTGATGTATTTCTTTGTAATCCTTTACATATTTAAGCGATTAAGTTTTGGTTTGATGCGTTTATTTTCGTGAATGTCTCTGTTTACAGTGTTGTTGGCCCTAAATGACTCACATTGTCGATGGGCCATTAAACAATACAGAAACAAAACAAAACATACATCATGTGATGTATATACGGTATTTTATAGCATAGTACAATTTTGTATATTAACTGATTGTGTCTTTTACAATCTGATGTCTTTGGTTTATTTTTACAATGAAGAATTCACATCACTAACAGAAAATGTATCAGTTCTTAAACATTTGAAGTGTATTTTATATATACGGAAAATTAGATCATGCGTTTGATAGTGATATACATTAGGTATATATTAAATGTTTTGTTCTATATTTTCACATTAAGATGTTTTTGGTGTATTTATAGTATGATATATTTTTGTTTAACAGTATGGCATCAGCGGTCCATTCTGGTACGCGGCTGGAGCCGCAATACAAATTCTTCTGTTCGCCATGATATCCGTCCAACTGAAAATAAAAGCGCCAGGTGCCAAAACTTTCCTCCAAGTGATCAAGGCCCGGTTCGGCTCCCGTACACACAAAACCTTCTGTGTCTTTGCCCTGATGACAAACATTATCGTTACCGCAATGCTGATGTTAGGTAAGTAAGGATTAGTCCATTTGTTTGTTTAGCTCACCTGGTCTGCAGGTGGGGGATCGGGAAAAGAATACACCCACTGTATGCATCGTAGGAAGCGACTAAAGTCGGAACCCCTTGCAGAATTGGGGATTTGCTTTGGTGTCCTCTATTTGGGGACACAAAAACGACCAAAATTAATCACAGGCACTCAATCAAATATTTGGGATTTTTATCTCGTTCAGCATTTTGGTTCACCCGTTGTCAGTATAATGTGATCGGGCGGAATGCTGTGCTGGATGCCTTCGGCATGGTATTTCAGTGATATAGCAATATAAAGTCGGCAACAGATCCGCGCTATCACAAGGAGGCAAGCACACCAATATACCCCGTCTCCTGCATACACACACGCAAGCACGCATACACATCACACACGGAGGCACGTCCTTAGCTGTTAATAGGATGTTAACCAATCAAACCGCATCGTCAATCGGTGAACATTTTTTTTTTCAAACGATTTTTCCTCGATTCCTTCTGATAAGAATATAATCAAATGTGGTTGGGATTCAAAATTAAACAAATGGCGAGGCGAGGTTGGACGCCTGCCTAGGTTGAGGGATACACAAATGTACGAATTGTTGTGGGTTGGTTAGTTGTATAGGATTTAACGTTCTATCAATAGCTAAGTTCATTTAAGGACGTGCATATGTGTATGTATGCTATCTTACTGATGAACATACCATTTCGCCCAGTCAAATTATTTTGACAACAGGTGAATCGGTTGTTGCCATTACCCTAAATGCTGAACGGGAATAGCAACTGCCATTTTAAGTATTTGGTATGTTCCGACCTGGGGCCAGAACCCATTGCCTTCCTCATCTGGGTGAATGTTCAACATTAAAGCCGAAAGGGTAGTATTGCCCAGAGAGAAATATACAAATCCCTAGCATTGCAATGGGTACAGAAGATTTATTTAGGTCGCTTTTGTGCCCCCAAGTAGAGGCCATAGTTACAAATTCCCAATTCTGCAGGTGGTACACTCATTAGCCGCCTCTTCCGATACACTTTTGTTTCTATCCCCGACCTGCAGGGGTGACGAATGGTTGGGCTGAAGGACAGGGTCAATAAGCATTATTTGATTATGTTGCCTTAATTGACTTTTTGTATTGAAAAAAGTGATGTACATTAATGTATAACACCAATATTTGAAGGTAAATTTGGCCATACTGCTTTAATCGACTTTTCCCTGGAACAACGAGATGGATAATAACCAAAGGAAACATTACTAAGTGAAGAGGATTGTACAAAAGTGTACAAATTGATAGACTGACCCCCCGTAGGCGAAGGATTTAATTTTGACAACTTTCCGGTGTCTTAAGATAGCTGTATAACCAGCGATTATTAAAACCATGAATTATAATCTCCGTGAATAAATATTTACAGACACAAAAATGAAAATCGGTTTAATTTTTTCTGCCGAATGATGATGATAAAACTAAAACACAAAAGTGCCCTCGTGAGTGCGACACATATACGTGTACCATTACTTATTGCAAGACATGTAATCCCTGTGAACTGGTCCTAATCTGGACAACCGCCAAATATTTACCCCGCAAAATTATAAAAATTTACAGCACTTTGAAAACCATCCAAGCATACTTTCCTACTAACAGTCTTCTATTTTCTTTAACATTCCTAATAAAAGTGATAATTTATTACCAACATCATATTTCTGATCATTACAGAACAGAGAGAAAACCCCGTTTTGTGGCCTTTGAAAAAATATGATTGCGATTTAAATATGATAATTGTCCATTATATTCCGAAATATTTTGTGAAATTGTATTCTTACCGTTGTTATTGTTGAGCTCATTGTGTCTTTAATTTAGATCAGAAAAATATTCGTTTGTGATATTTATTCTGCGCTCGAAGCTTCTCTGTTTAAATGCACATGACAATGAAAACTGTCTTTTCTTTGAACCGTTATTTCTAATGATTAACTGGATTGGTTGTATCCTATTACAATCGCGACGTGGATTTCTTGTCTGTCTAGGGAGTGGCTGTACAGACATCGCGCAGGTGGATAATTAGTATCAACTAGCTCACGTTGTACCAGGGTTTGTCAGGCTCAAGCAATTAAGGCAATACACCTTACGCACTTTATTTAACAATGAATGTAAACAATTACGCAGAAAACAATGAAAAGCTTTCAGTTTTTTTAAGCGGAAAAAGGTATAAAAGCAAGAGAAAGAAATTGTGGTTCAGTAAACGAAAGACATGCTAACCTAGAAGGAAGCGTAGTTACATGTACCTGTAGAGGCGAACGATTTGTTAAGCATTTACAGCTAAACGAATTTTTCTAGACATTATTATTTAATATTCAGGCGACAGGGTCCATATTAAATAAAATGTTAGTAATTTAAGAACTTAATACACATTATACCTTTTAATGATGCGTTATCTATTACCAAGTTCTATACGCTATTTCATAATGTACTTCACATGTTTTAAGAATGAATATAAGATTCACGTTATTGTAACGTTAAAAAAACAAAGAATTTTCTTTCATTTTATGTTTTACCGACAGGTGGGGCTGCTGTACTGACGAGCCTTATTCAGGACATCTCCGTGGAGTACGCCACCGTGTTGATCGCCGCAGTCATCGGAGCGTACACGCTGATTGGTGGACTCGGTGCAACAGTGTATGTGTCCTATTTCAATACATCCATCATCTACATCATCATGGTCATCTTCATCATGAAGATCTACAACGATCCCGACTCTCCCGACAACCCACTTGGTGAGTAACATACTGAAAACAGTTTTCACCGCAATTTATAATCTTAAGTTTCTCTGTCCCACAGCACAGTGGCTTTTCCTACATACAATACCCCCACCCTTTAAATTTCCGTTCGGATATAACCGTAGATCAATTGAGACAGAACACTTCCGATGATCAGGTGCTTCAATCGATTAGAATGACAATATGTCACTCTGACGTCAAGGGTTCAAATCCCGGTCTAGTCTGAATATTTTTCATTTCATATTTACTATTTCTAATAAAGGACCTATAGGATATTCTCTTTTTTTCAGAAATGTTTTATCAAAGCTTTAATCATGCCGGGAAAAAACAAGTTTCCAACACCTAATTACATTTTAAGGCAGTGGTATGGGGACATCTGTCGTTAGTAGATCGTTATGCTATTTAATTACCATGGAATATCCACCTCATACATCAGATATAACCACACTTCCTGTTAGAGAAAGATTTACCTGTCTTATCATAGGGGAGCCGAGGGGTTTTCCAAGTCAGGACAATTGTAGGACGTGAATTTACTATAACAGGCCATGGAATATATATACCTCATTGGGTTTGCTGGAAAACCATGCAATCAGCGTATTGATTTTATTATACTGGATAGAAAAAGTTATGTATACCTTCGGAGGAGATAAAGGGGGGGGGGGGGTAGTAATCAGTATTCATACCAAGGAAAATCGATGTTTGCTGTCAATAAACCACAGAAGATATTAGAAAAATGTGCTCTTGTGATTATTGTTTGGTATAAAACGAGAATAAAACAAGTTTGGAAATTTGAGGTTATATTATAGCCTTTGTAACATATGTCTTTTTGATAATAAATCAAAAATCAAAACCGTAAAAACATTTGTAAGAAGTGATCTGATCAACCTACTGACTTGTTTTTTTCTTGTGTTTGTTTGAATTCCGCATACTGGACATTGCGGAAAAACGACACAGTGTCAATCGGATTTTTTTTAAATTTGTTTTGTTAATGTATTCAAGACCCCTTCAGATTATAACAACACATATCCTTCTATCTAGGTAAACTATTCGGAACGCATTTTGCCGCTTACATTGGGAACCATGTCGTCAGAGGGGTTCCGAATAGGGAATGCATTACGAGAATAGTTATCGCATTGGGGGATGCATTTCGAGAAACGAATTACACGGGTGATAGGAAGTGGTATCAGAGGGATTTGGAAATAATCACACAAGAAAAATACTGATTTTTCGAATAGACATGATAATGAAATTTAAAATGTCGGTGTTCATTTGCACATTCAAACCAACAGTGAGTTTTTCTGTGTATTAGAGTACTACATGTATTTGTATTTAGTCACGCCGGGCTAGACTTTAAAATACAGTTTGTGCGTACAAATGTAATTTGGCCGTGTGAGTGATCAATTGTCCCAAATAAAAATGTCATTCGACTTTGCAGAATTTTTAAAAAGAATAAGCAGATTTAGCCTTATTCCAGTCCTGTCGGTTTTAACGATATGAAGCTTTAATTACACCAACATACCCTGTCTCCTGCACACTTCCGCGCATACACAACACGCATACAGGCACTCCTTGCATGGCATTAGCTGTTTATAGGACGGTAAACCCTTTACAAACGAACAAAAAATGTTATTTTGTTAACTGAAAAGTACAGAGGAACAGTTATTTATGGTAAAGACCTTGACATCAGGCTGTATATACTATGTTGCTGTGTTTCCATAACAGATTAATCACGCCCCATCAAATCATTTTATATTTCGTGTCTCATTATCTCTATCAGTAGACTTCTTATTATGAAAACGATACACTAAATATAATAATCTTGATGAGAGAATAAGAACAAACGACGCATTAGTTTGATGTGCTATGTGCTTTAATATTTAAAATATGGTTTAAGAATTGAAAAGATTCCAGCTTGAATTGATAAGCAAAAGGAATACTTTAATGACCTTTAGTCAACTCGAGTAAATTTATATAACGGTACATGTCTTTAGTCCCTTTTCGATAAAAAAAAATTGTCCCTACAATTTTAAACTTTCTGAAAGCTGTTGGTCTTTTTATTAAAATAAGAGTCACCATAGCCACTTTCAGTATTCAAGTGGACGTTTGTCTTTTTTCTTTACATTACGCGATGTTTCTATTTTGCAATTTCGTCTACCATTCTATGGCCTCACCCTGTGTTGATTGGCCGCTAAGCAAGTACAGTGTATCAATAATGATAATTTGAAAGTAGTACAAAACTTGAATCGACCTGCCGCATTCAGGTAGCTTCCATATCAGTTAAGAATATCTAGGTCACCATTCTCGTTATGACATCAAATGGTAACGTTGGATTTAAAAAAAAATCCATTTCATTAAAATATATTGTAAACTTGGAACATGTAAGTGATGCAATGTTTTAAGTACGCATGTGTAGCCTAAATGAATGCCAACCGATTACATTCTAAGGCTGGAATGAAGCTGGAATAAAAAAGTGAGGCAATTACACAGACTGAAACAATTATAAACTATTTTTACTATATTTGTTCTACGCTAAGGAGCTGATCAGTTTATGCTGGATATATTCCAAACTGAATACTATACATTTATTTTATACAATTGTTAAAATAAATAGAGTTACATTTAATTTCGGAAGGTTTGTTTGCATAGTGATTGTCCCCTTAGTGAACGGTGTTATAGACTATAAAATGTGTACATATAAACCTCGAAACAGTATTACCTTATTATATTTGTTTTGGAATCGTTGTCAATTTCATTTTGACAATACCAAAAGAATTGTTGTTTTTTTGCTTTTTTATAGAATGATATGGCATTGCCTGTTATTTATGAACCAGAGAAAGGTTGTAAGCATTTTGTTGGGTTGCCAGGATCATGTCTTAACGTCTGAAATATCACAAATAGTGATTGTGATGACAAGTATGAATTGATCAGTATTTGACGGGTCTTATGCGTAGTCTATCATTATCTACACGTATCTTCATCCTTTTTACAGTCATGACTTGATTGCATGTCTGCATATATCATTAACGCCTCACAATATTATATAAATGTCATTGGTTTTATCAGATAGGGTATGCTAATCAAATAATAATAATTATTATTATAAGAGGTTCTTATATACCGCTTATATCCCTGGGGAGCATACAGCCGGAGCTGCCATTTCGGCGCTAACATCTAGCATTCAACAATTCTAGCACTGCCCAACCATGTACTCATTTACAGCTGAGTAGACTGGAACAAGCGGAATAAAGTATCTTGCTCAAAGATACAACACATCGCCGTGCCGTGGCGCGAACCCGCAACCCTTCGACCACGAGTCCGGCGTCCTACCACTGGACTACCGTGCTAATTATCTAGTTATCAATACATTCTACCTACGACCACTGGACCTTATTGACATAAAACATTTTCTTGTGTAAAAATATTTAGTGTACAGGCTATTTAATCATATGCATATAACGCTTGACTACGTATCAACAATAAAAACTACTTTTCATATGTAAAACAATATTGCACAAAATGCAAAATGCAAAAAAGCACCATTCAACAGCTGAACAAAAGCTGTAAAGTATTCAGCGAACGCAATTGTTTTACATTATATAGTTGTATAAGTACCCTTTGATGTGTAAATCAAAGTAATGGTAAAATGATGCACGCCCGTGAAATGACAGTCGGAGAGTATCACTTTAACATTGAATCACCATACGTTAGCTGATAGCTCTGTATGTATAAAATAAGATCAGAAGGCCGCATTGATTATATCGACACGAAAATACTAGTGAGTTTCTTTTTTCTGTACCTTGCTATCGTTCAACGTCACCAGTGCAGAAAAGATAATTGTATTGGGTTAGAAACAGCCTGTCCCTGTAAACAAATCCCCTTTCAACACTATATTTTATTTTAAATAATTAATCATAGTGTTGTCTGATATCACAGAACCAAAACTGATTTGCTGACAAAATGCGACACTGCAGCATTTGGTATCTATTATCTTTTGTGTCCTTTCATTCCGGATCCTTAGTATGCTGAGTAATTGAAATGTCTACTTGGGTGGTCGGGTGGCGTAGTGGATATCGCACTCGCCTTTCATCATGTGCAAAAGGTAGAGCAGCCCGCAGAGAGGACGTTGTCCTCTCGCGACTAGCAAAGGCCATACCTACATCACACATAGCTACATTTTACACAAGGAAGACCAGCCTTATTGTCATGCATGTGATCAATCATTTACAGCCAAACACTTTATGATTGAATGCGCTGATTTCAAACAAATACTTGACAGATTTTATAATGTACCCTCTATGAAACGTTTATTTGATACAGTTTCTGTGCAATCAATCTATAATTATTTACATTCAATTAATCACTTAGATAAGATATGATATATGTTATAAGCAATTCGGTTGCTATTGATATATTTGACATCTTTACACATTTTAACCTATTTTTCTGGTTTAGGTGTTTTCAGTTTTTGTGAATGTCTATTTTTCACATTGTTGTTGGCCCTTAATAACTCAAATTGTCGATCAGCCGTAAAACAATACACAATACAAATACAAATCACCAAGGCGACCGGATTTGGGAAATGAAAAGGTATGGGTTCCGCCCATATTCAAGACGCTAAGCGCTAAGAGCCGGGCCACCATTAGGGATTACAATAGGTGGTAATTACTTGTTCCATAAAGGTTATTAAATAAATAATAAAAAAAAAAATGACCAAATTTTCTTTCATACGTTTATAACGTTAATCAAAGGAAAAGTCATTCCAAGCTTTGTAAAGGTAGACAGCCGTAAAGCGGGTTTAATTCGCACAACTTTGGTCGAGAGCTATTCCTGTGACTTGGTGCCATCTAATTTAAGATCAGCAGGAAGCATAAATGTTTTATAATTTTACATATATGCTTATTTTCGAAATTTCTACTTATCGTGAATTTGTTACATGTACATAGGCACTAACCAGCTATTTGCATCAGTGCTTACTTACTTAGTATGTCACGTGACCATCAAGAGAGACGGCATTAACACTTCATCGATAAATCCTGTGCAACCCATTATCGAAATTTTCTTACAGAAAAAAACCTTCCCAAACACATGAAGTATAATTTATAATTGTCGAAAAGTGATGTAAATTCTCCTGCATTTTTAGTAAAAATACTGATATTCAGCGAAAAGACGCGGCAGGTATGGTATTCATGTTTTACAAAATCTCAATAAGATTTTTTTCAAGAATATATACCTATATTCATAAGTCATTCCTCAATCAGTAACACTCATATATGTTTTATACATGTTGATTAAGGACAACGGGTTGCAATCGGGCGATTTATTGAGCAAGTTCCTGTCCAAATTGTAACTCTTCCATGCTTTAAAAAGCGGCAGGCGTTATAGAGAATAATACACCGATACATGAATCCATTAGAACGTATTTCCTGATAAGAAGCTACTCCCGATTCATGGTATATCTGTTATGTTATATGTCCTTTGCCGATCCGGCAAAGATGATAGATATTTTACTCGTGAAACGAACCGTCCTCCTATCGTATGGCAGCCGAACGTAATCAATGCGGCGATAAAAAGTGGAAGTAGAAATTTATTGAAAAACCGTATTCTGAGCGATATCGGCTAAACTAAATGATGTTGTATCGCAGTTTTATTATATACACAAACAATGGACATATCAAAAGTGTTGCAACGTTTTAAGACCGACTGATCCTAAAATTGGTGAAGGGCATCCTAGCTACAGAGAGAGGCGCCGAGACCAGGTTGTTCTTGCTCGTCTTCCGATGGATCATTCATACATTACCCATTGCTATTTACTTAAACGTGATGACCAGCCTCAATGCATAGTGTGTCAGGAACCATTTACAGTAAAACACTTCTTATTAGATTGAGTTGACTTTAAAAGTTCTATAATAACATTACATGTCTTAAATAAAAAAAAATCGAAAACATAACTGTCTCCTCAATTTTAGGCTATCTGAAAGCTGTTTGTCTTTTTAATAAAATTTGAGTCATCTTAGCCACTTTAAATATTCAAATTGACGTTTGTCTTTTGACCTTTAAGTTTGTTTTATGTATTTATTTCGCATTGGTTTTGTTCGACCATTTGTTGGCTCTAATGATCTATTCTGTGTTGATTGGCCGTTAAGCATTTAATAATTATAATCATAATGAAAAAGGAAACCAGTCGGTCTCGAAAATGCGACACGTTTAATACGTACATTGTTTGTATATACTATGAAGTACTGATGAATTGTATTGCGTATATACATGTTAGGTATTAATTAATGATATTTGACATTTTTCATATCATGTTAAACAATCTGAAACGAACATAACATGTCAGCCGGTGCAGATACCCCAAACGCTGTAAACATCATGACGTCATTGGAATGTATAAATTACATCAATGTTTCTTTGTACAAATACACTAATGAGCAAAGACCTGTGGCGCTACATACTTCCCCATACGCTCAATGGCACAGCTTATACTATTGAACAGTTAGTCGACGAGAGTCTCTAAAAAGGTGTATGGGTTCATAAAGGATATTGAACCCCACAATCAGAGTATGCAGGAAGCACAGGAGGGAGCTGAACCTCAATTAAAAATGGCAGGTACCCTCTGATAGACAATCTCCTTCTTACTATGTACAATACAGTTGTTTCCTTTGGTATGCAAAGCAATGTTATCGATCGTTTCGTTCTTATCGCTTCGACACAGAGCGAAACGGAAATACTACTCATTAAACCACAGAGTTGACATTTCTTGTGATTACCATTTTCAGTTTATGGTTGCCATGGATATGTAGATATAGACACATTTTGTACAAAACCGTAAGCATCAAGTAGCTCAAAAAGCTGATGAGTATCGTCATTTGAAGTCGTCAAAGGTCAATGTTAATGGTAGTCTGTAATTATGACCTCTACTGACATAAATGCACATTCATACAGGTTAAGGAACGCTGTCCCAGAAGCGATTCCGTTATTACACACAATCGAGACTGTCGTTTACAAACTCTTGTGGCGTAGTTCCAGTTCTAGAAATTTATCATTACATTTGATCTAGGGAAGAATAGTTTATTGCACTTTGTTTTGGAATGGGAAGTCATTCCTCCAACACGCATATCCTTTCGTGCAGTGTGAGTGAAGTCGTATCATATCGATACAGGGTAACATTTGTTCTGGTCATAAATGTCTGTTCCCAACCCAGTCTGTGACAACCAAGCTATACATTTCCTTAGATGCAATAGGGCCACCAGCAGACAGCAATGAATTAACAAGCGTTATGGAGGTATACAAATTGTCTTTGTTTTGAATACACTTCTAATTAATGAACGCTAAGCTGTATCTTTGTGTCGGAAACGTTTTTGACTTCCATGTAGTGAAATCAATACAACTCACTAAGCAAAGGTAACTCACCCTGATGATGATCGAATGTTCAAAGCAACTGTTGGCGTCCTGTTGTCTGCAAAACACAAACGTTAATAACTCAGTATAAAATTTTGGGATTTTTTTTTTGTCTTCAAAAGTAATGAAATTCTAAAAATAATACAAAATATTGATTTTGCACACGATTTTGGAAGCAATCACCTCTAAATATCTGTTCGCTTGATTTATGGATGTCGTTTGTATTTTAAGGGACAATAGACAAAGTGTACACACTTCTTAACTGTACGGAGGGACCAAGCGAAAACACCGGGCACAGCTACCTGACCATACTCTCCAAACCGGGGCTTATGTTTGGTTTGATCAATATTGTAGGTAAGAAATAAACTCGCAAACCCGGGTCTCAATTGTATTTAATGTTCTTTATGAATAATGATATGTTATACACTCCTGCTAAAGTCCCCACCACAATTTTTTGACACGTTTTGTTACCGTTGGTTATCAAGAATGTATTTGTTGTCAAGTGTTACAGTCGGGAAATGCATTTAGTACATGTAACATCATAATGTAGCAAGTCTATAATAGTATTTTTAAGCATGGTAAATTCTAAAACTTGTACATGTACTTTAATTAATTAGTTTCAGAAGCAATATGTGATGTATATACATATAATATTTGCTTTTAAAAATGTACTCATTTGGCACAATTTAAAGGACATATTTTTTTAATGGAAGCTTTATTGTTAAAGGAAAATGTATGTTACCATGATGATGCAATCGACATTTAAAAACGTTGATTGTTTATAAGGGTTACCCATCCGCTTATGTAAATTTTACTATAACGATTTCAAAATATGTACCAAAATCCCAAAAGCATGCATTTCTCTTCTGAGAAAAATATTCATTGGGTATTGCTTTAACGCTTAATGATTTTTATTCTTTCCGCTGGAAAGACTATCAATATAATGGTATTTTCAAAAGATGGCATATTATCACAGGCGGATTTTTTAAAAATATGGTGTTGAACTATTTCGTTCAAGGGAATTTTGGAACAGTATTTGTTGACCAGTCTTACTGGCAGTGTAGCGTAGCAGCCAAACCTAAGGAGGGTGTGATAGGGTTCCTAGTCGGAGGTATATGCTGGTTTGCCATTCCCTTCGCTCTAGCAACTACCACGGGACTAGCGTACATCGCCCTCGGAACCACCCAGAATGGCCCTTTACTGACTGCTGACGAAGTAGACGCTGGTAAATATTTCATTCAACAAATAACCCAATAAACTAGTGACCATGACCAAAAACACCACACACATTAGTCATTTACAGAATAGAAAATATGTAAACGGCGGTTGGTAAATACTTGACCCATACAAAAAATTCAGTTACCAACTTTGTACTTGTTAAAATATCTGGACTGAAATACAATTGTTTCTACTGAGAACGATTAATCAAACATGTTATAAATACTTTTATAAAAGAAATCAATATATTGGTGTCTGCTTTCTACTGTCGGAACATAAAAATGACATTTGATTGCAATTGCAATGGGAATGAAATTAACATCTATAAATTTAGTTACGTTTGCAAATAAACCACATCGCACCTAACGATTTAATCACTGCCCACATAAACTCATTTATCATTCAAAAATAGACCTGATATATTTAAACATACTAATGATTTTTTTATATAATGCAGCTCGCCAGCAAATCTCTCAGTTGCCCAACAACAAAACACGTTACATCGAATACAAAATTCGGATCGGGTCAGCCTGAATACTTGCAGAATTAGATTAACAAATAATTGAATACCGCATTCACACTATATGTATACTAGTAAGTAACTTATATATGAGAAACTGAATAAAGGATTGCATTTGGTCAATATGGTATTAGCTTAGGCGAACAGTTACAACTTACTCTACAATGTGTTTATATGCAAGCATGGGTATCAGAAAAGGAAGATTACCTACGATATTTTACTCAAGGACTGGTACCGCCGGCCGTCGCGCAGAGGCTTCTTGGAAGGAGCGGAGAGTTTCTCATCATCGTCATGATCATCATGGCAGTGACGTCGACTGGGTCAGCAGAGGTCATTGCTGCAACATCAATTCTTGTCTACGACATATATCAGCTATATCTGAAGGTCAGTTCACACGGTTTGACAACAACTTTTATTTGTCTAACATCGATACCAAAATTATAAAAGAAATGTCTATTTCAATTAAATGCCACCGTATTCGGGTATTTGAAAGGTAACAGTCCATTGGATATAAGGAAGTAAGCAAGTAAAAAATAGAAGACCGAATTTTCCCCTACAGCTTAACAGCTTGTTGTACTGGCGTCTAATACCGTTGTAATCAGGGTTGTCATTCATGAAATTGTTCTCATACTCAAATGCAATTCCGTCCAGTTTTTGTGTGGTGATACATTAATAAAAAATGTCTTTTTGAGCATGCTATGGACACGTATTTAGTAGACATACAGTCAGGTACCATCTTCAATGTTTACATTTAAGTTTTCCCCCTTTAACATGAATTTAAGCGGATTACAAGAAAGGTAGACCGACCACAGATTCTATGATTGAACATAAGAATGATTTTATGAATACGGGCCGAGGTGATCCTCGTTCAAGTTAATTATGACACTTGAGTGAAAGAAGCACTTTACAAGTGTCCCTTGAGCGTCCTCGTCATCACTTTAGTGCACAGTCATAACATGACCTTAGCGGTTGAGGGAACATCACAACTCAATAAATAAATCGATTAATTGTGAGGTGGACGGATATACGGAGTGCATAACAATGTTCCAGCTGCTTACACAACTTGAATATATTCATGTTGTCCTTAGCCTTACCGCCTGGTGCTGGATTCAAACAGCTGTCTACTTTGTGGAAAGGCGCGAGGCCGGATGGCAAACCCACGTGATAAATGCACATGTGAAAGTATGCTGTACTGTTACACGTGCAAAGAAGACGATAAGTATGTTAAATAATGTAATGTTTGCGCTATATTTAAATTCGTCTAAAAAGATAATATTGGGCTAAATTTTAATATTTCTTATAATGTAATGTTTGTGCTATAGTTGTAACGGTAAATAAACATTTATTAAATAATCTTGAAGGAAATTAAGCTTTATCTTATCGCAAGCCTCGCTTTATTTGTCATAACAAAATTGCTATACGGTCTCGTTTGTTATTATTGATATACGTAAGTTGCATTCTGATTAAGTATATTGATAATGTTTTCATTTTCCAATACTTGTTGATGTCACAATTGCCAAATGAATATTGTTTACCTGTTTAACCTTACTCTTGTGACTTAATGTACATCAAAGGATACCACTCCTTAATCGTCCTTTGATCAAAAGCTTTTCGACAACCTCCATATGGTCCAGCATTCCAATTTTAAGCAAGTGTTGTTAAGCGAAAAGAAATCTTCAATAATGATGCTCTAGATGTTTTTACTCCTGATTTTCTTGATTATCATCACACAAAAAGCCTATTCGTGCAAATTTACCTTCTGTCTTTTAATCTCCATTTCAACATTAGGAATAGGACTGTGTTCCTCTGTCGGAACCTGCACAATGATATGACCTCATCTTGTTTTAACATCTTTAATGAAATATCACATTTTCCTTTTGTACTGAGGAGTCTATTTCATCGACAACATTATGTTTACCGATCAATTTTGTTGACAATGGGGGGCGGGGGATATCATTCTTCAACTGAAGGCTTCAACAAATCATATGTTAAGATATTGTGTTTAAACACAGGCAGGATATATCCACATTATACATTTTGCTAACAATAGCCCGACGGTGATTGTTTTGCATTTCTTCACGGAATCTGCCTTGCCGTAAAGTTCAATGATCAAATGTGATGGTTTAATAAGGATTTATTTTTATGTTGTCCAGATGGTCAAATATGTTTGCTTTTTCCTTAAATTTCGTGATATATGCTTTTAAAATTCTTACCTCCCTTTGTGTGCCTCTTTTGTCGACAGACAGCGCGAAAACTGGAAGCGCGCCATCAAGCCGCCATACTCATGTGGAGTGCATGGAAAGTATCGGGAATATACGGACTACCTCTCCACTCTCAAAAACTGGTGTCTTCTCTGGTCCACCATATCCATCCTCCCGCTTACAATCTTCCTCGACCTCTCTGGGGTTAGACATATTTTATCCTTTGATAAATGTCCAAAATTGAAGTTGATATCATTAAGTAATGTAGTTGAATGTTGACATCGGAGGTCTTTAAAAGTATGAAGTATAGTGAAAAGACATTCTCAATAAAATATAACATGTGTTCATTTCTAACTATTAGCAGTAGCAAAGTGGGTTCGTCGGGCTCGATGCTTGCAGTTTTTGTTTCATTTTTATGGCTTATTTTTATGTTCAAGGATTGCACATAAACTTCTAATAATGTACTCAAACTAGTGTTTCGTCAATTCATAGGATGTTCTTTATTTCAAATGCTTTCGTTATTTTTATAATAGCAATAGTACATTTCAAGTTGCGGGTTGCTCTGTGTCTTAAAATGAGAAAGTAACTATTCGAAATATTTTTACGTTTTCTATAGTCAAAACTTTTATTTTTATTCACCTGACATTGTTTTAGCGAGTATTTTTATACAGTAGCAATAGTTTACCTCTACAAAAATAAAGAAAATTATCATTGTTTTACAGGTGAGTTTGGCTTGGGTTTACATGTTTATGGGGATCCTCATTGGCTCAGCGGTTGTCCCGATTGCTCTTAGCGTATCATGGGATCGACTCACAGGCGAGGCTATGATGGCTGGCAGTATTTCCGGCATGGTTCTTGCTGTCATCGTCTGGCTTTCCGTCGCTTCCACGTACAAGGGGGGCCTGAGTCTCTTTCTTGAAAACACAGGTTGGTCTTAGACGCTTCGTTTTTCGAAACATTTGTGTACTTTAAGAGAATCGAGTTCCATCAAAGAAACGTCTAAAAAACGTCATGATACACACACGTCAGTCTTTAAAAACACAGATAAATCTTCGACGTTCACTTCATTCAACATGTAGTTTTAGGATTCACCCTTGACAACACCTGATGGTTTAGAACATTTTCTTTATCTTGACACAACAGGTGCATCACGGAAACGTTCTTGTTTACATTGACAACATCAGTTTAATTCAAAAAGCGTTCAGTAAATGCAGTCGGCTTTCATAATGTCTATGATCTATACACACGGACTTCGTACATTTACCAATAAAAATATATTAAATCTAATAAAGTCATTAATTTGGTCAATGTCATCTTTAGGTCGATAAGTTAGCAACATCATATTGAATTGATGACCGGTTTTATAAAACAAATTAAAATCGCTTGGCTTGGTAGCTTAGGTTAAGTGTCCTATTTAAATAGCTCAGGTCATTGAAAGACGTGCCTCCTTGTTTGGAGACATGCTTGCATGTCTGCTGTTTAGGAGACGGTAATGATCGTAAGAGGCGACTAAATTTGGGTCCTTATCTCTTCTCTCCTTTCTAAATAACTCGTCTGCATCCCGACTGGATGTATCGTAAGAGGCAACTAATGTAGGAACGCTCTGCAAAATTTGAGATTTGCTTTTGTGTCCCCTCCTAGGGGACTCAAAAGCGACAAAATTAAATCTGCTGCACTTATTGCATTACTTAAAAACTGAATATTTCTCTTACTTTTTTTTGGCTATAGTGAACGATCATACCAAATTCCTTAAAAATGGTTCACCCGTTGTCATTTTAATGTGACCGGGCGGAATGCTCTGTTGGGTGTCTTCGGCATTGTATTTCAGTTTATAATCTCGGCATCAGATTTATAGTGCACTAACAGACCCTTGTCTCCGGCACGCATACACACATACACGCTTCCACAACACGTCCTTAAATGACCTTCTCTGTTGATGGGACGTTAATAGCCTGCAGGTAGGGCGTAAGAATTGTACCTGCTGCCCCCAATTGCATGATCGTAAGAGGCGACTAAATTTGGGTCCTTATCTCTTCTCTCCTTTCTAAATAACTTTCTTCTTCCTAATGTCTCCCTTGACAATGCCTCACTTTTGGCCATTTGTTGAGCGTTCGCCCATGTGAGGAAGGCTTTGGATTCTGTCCCCTGGCCGAGACATACCAAAGTCTTTAAAAATGGTAGTTTCTACTCCTTCTTAACGCTCAGTAAATTAGGAGTGGGACGACTGGTTCAACCGTTGTCAGTATAATGTGACCGCGTGGGGCGTCCTGCTGGGTGTCTTCGGCAGTATGTTTCAGTGAGGTAGCACTATAAAGTCGGCATCAGTTCCGCGCTATCACAAGGAGACAAACACGAACTTATCGCAGCCTCCCAAAATACACACACAAACACTTCACGCATGCATCTTGTACACAGGGAAGGCCGTCCTTGGATGACCTTAGCTGTTGATAGGACGTTAAACAATTCTAAACAAAATCATTCCGTAATATTTATCAACCATTTGTACGTAGTGTTATCGCACATTTGTGCGGAGAGAACCGCACAACAAGGCGAACGATTGTTATATCCCACAGTTGTGCACATGATGTATGCACGATGTGCACACGCTGTTTTTGGTGCTTTGTGCGTTCACACATCTAAACCCCTGGTTTTAAAAGCACTTTGTAAACAGGATATTTCGAGTTAAACATTATAGTTTGTAATTTAATCGGCTTTTGCATTGACGTTTTGTAGTAGTTGTCGACAATGACGGAACTTGTAAAATCTAGTTAAAAACAGACATGAAATTGTGATTAATAGGAATTCAAATAACTTTCTTTTCTTCATCGTCCATAGTAAATATTATTGCCATGCACAATGTAAAATCCGGGCCATTTTTTACCCCAGAAAATGACTATATTGGCCTTTTCTTGCCAAGTGCCTGGAATAACCTGAAATTGACTTGAATTGGCATGCAGTTTTGCAAATGTATGAATGACTAACTACCAAAACCTTTTATCTGTTGAAGAAATTCAATATTCGCCATGTCACTTTAACTGGTCCATTGCATAGGGCAATATCTGTAACTACAATTAACGTACCGTGCATATTCTCTGTCTTATATGTAGGCCGCGAGATGCCACTTCTCTGCGGAAACGTAGTAGCCATCTCGTCTGGAGGAATTATCACAGTCGTTACCAGTTTTGTACAGTCCTGGAAGTTCGGCTCCCTGCCACGGGAGGAGATATGGGAACGATGCCGTGACATTGATAGCCCCCTCAGTCCATGGACACAGCTTTACGAGAAGTACGCCCCTGATGTCACGTGATATAATCCAATTTGCTGATTGGATAAATTATTGACAGTTCATTATTTAAAAGTGTTTAGTATTATGTTGGTGACAATTTTTCGCCGTTACCGATACAGTTAATCGAGGTTAATTGAAATACTATACAAAATTTGGTTTACGACTTTAACCGACACGATTTTGTTTTCTTACCAAACAATAACAACGTTATCAAAGAATTGAGAATTGTTGCGTTACCACAATTTAGATATGTATTATTTGTTCAACATTATCTTAATGGTAAATGTCTACTGTGTGTCCTGTTTTCTTTTTTTTCGAAAGCACAAGGTCAATTCACAAAAAATGAGTGTTCACATGAAAAAAATATTAAAAGTAGAAATTTGCTTCTCGTATGTATTTCACAGGAATAGCCAAATTTATCAAATTCCTATATATAACACTTTTATTATTATGACCCTCAAAGCTTAAATTGCTATTCGATGTATTACTTTACAGGTTTTTTAAGGTAATTAGTTTGTTGTAATCTTGCAGAGATTTGAACATAACTGGAGCTCACCATCTTGACAGCCGACCTGCACTGAGCGAAGTTGAACGTACCTTCCGGAGTTCTAAAATACTGGCCTATGCCGGAGGAATTATAGGCTCTATCTTACTTATCGTGGTGTGGCCCTTATCCCTTATACCTGTAGGCGTCATGGACAGATCGGACTTTCATCATTGGGTAGGTACATCAATCAGGTGGTCTGAGTCCGCCATTGAAGCATTGTTATGTCCCGGTGTGTGTATGCATTTTGTCTTTTTTTTACTCTCTTACATTTTTGTCTTCTATGCCAGACATATTTGTCCATCTATCTCTGTGATAATTTTATGTGTTTTAATTGTCGTTAACTCAATCACTATTGTAGGTCATGCTGGCTATTGTGTGGGCACTCGGGGCAACCATTTTCATGATTATATACCCACTAGTGACTGAAGCATGGGACATCCATCAGGCATTCAAGGAGAGAGCCCAAGTCAACCCTGATATGTGGACCAAACCACCACAGCAAAAAGGAAGCAAGCCAACAAATGTCGGAAAAGGACCAAAGAAATATAACTCTCAGCCAACTCAGCAGTTACCATGTGTAAGTAAGGAGGGTGAAGATTCTAATGATGACCGTCAGTGCGAGGAAGGATACACAGATCCAAATATGATAGACCACATCACAGAGGCCAGGGATTCGACAACTAAATCGGTTTCATTATCACATTTAAACGCCCCCAACCACATATGACGTCACTGAAGATATATACAAACCAAATGTCATAATCAAATCGACCGAAAAAGAAAGGTACCTGTGTAAAAGGTGTGCTTTGATTAAATTGACTTATCTTTATCACTTTTCCTCGACCTACATCACTTCAGTAATAATGAAAAGATCAGGTTATCCCACTTTCCAACAAATATAGAGAAGGTGTCCAGATAAGGCCCAAACGTTTTCTCTATTTTAAAAAAATAATCAGTACAAAAATGTAAACAAAATGTAGCTGATGCATTACAACATAATCCGAGTTATAATGTAGTAACAGAATCCATAAAAAGAGTAAATACTGTAAAAATCGACATATTTCTGATGTGGAAATCTTTCCGTTTTCCACGTTCAATAAATCAGCTCGAGAATATCCACGCATGCATATTTTTTATAGAGAATTTTTTAAATTACTTATCAATTGAAAATACACATTGTAGATGTCAGAAGAATTACCAATACGAATACTTCCTAATCAGTCGAAAGGGTCGTAACGCGAACATTTCCACACGCTTTTCAACAAAATATTACTTTGTAAAGCACACGACTTTTCTATTTACATTGGAATTTAAGGTTACGAACAATGAGGAGAAAATTGCTGGTAACATGAAAAGGAATGCATCTACTACCCTTGATATGTACGGTTAGATTGAGAGATTAGAAATCAATATTCAAACGTGTTGTCAGCCATGCGTTGGCCCCTATGTGCTCTCCTGTGTTGATGGGCCGTTAAGCATGCTATAATAATAACAATATATTTGTGCCAGCAGAGTTATTTTTCGAAAATTTCAGAACTGTAAGGTTTTTTTTTAAGAATGTTGAAAACATAATGCTTTCGAAAAATTCCACGACTTTTACTACTTACTATTAAAAAGTAAAATAATCGTCACACTGTTTAGGATACAGAATGCAATGCCAATGATACTGTTATATAGTTCTCCTGAACTAAATTAATCACCCACTAAAACAATATTTGCTCTATAAACACACTCAATGGATTGAAATTCGCACAACGATGTTATTACTCCCTTTTATTAACTAATCATATTTAAAAAAAACACAAATATCCAGGTTTATACATTTTAAATAAAAATTATATTCATGCCTTAGATATCTTCAGATATCCACGTTTGCGTAATTTATCCCGAAAAAACGACAACTGTAAAAACTCTTAATCAGTTATTCAGATATATTTAAAGTATGGTTACATGGTACACTTGTAACCTACCATCACGAGTTTGCGGACCTTTTTCTCCCATAACTGTCATTTTATCTGGAAAGTCATAGGTTTCCCGTGAATATACACTTGGGGGGGGGGGGGGATTGCCGTAAATCATGACGTTACAATGAAAGATGACGTCGCAAAGCATTGTTACGTGACGTTATTAGTAAAAATGTTACCAAATGAAATCACGTCGAGGGTTTATCCAATGAGTCAGTAGTGAGGAAACCTATAGTGGTTGTGGGAGGAATGTATTTTGGGTCTTTCTGAGAACTCGAATGATTGCGAATAATTCATTTGGAACACAATCACAAAAGTGAGTGGTCTTGACATGAAAGTGAGACACAGTTATGTCCTGAAAACAAAAAAGGTTAAAAATTGTGAAAATTGACATCAAGAACATTTTTGGTAAAAGATCTTCTTCCAAACGTAATCATCCGATCATATAGTATGTGTATATAATTATATTGTATCGGTTTATTATAATAAATAGTATTTTGTTTGATTTCCGTACTATTCAAACGTTTTACAATTGTTTATAAATACATTGATCATTTATTGTTCGTCCAATAAATGCGTTTTGTATCATTCCTTGAGTCAATTTCTGTCCAGTTCAATTGAAAATTGTACAATGTCATTCCAATCAAAAGACTCTAAATATACGCCCCATTTGTCCTTTAAATCCGTCCATAAACAACTTACTTCCCTCATTAGGTCTATTTACCAACGTGTTGTTCGTCGCCTGTGAATTATCTCGTGAATTATATATTCCTATCAAATTTTCACTTGTCTCCTTAGTTGTATTCTTAAGATGTTATTCATCCAATCAAAACGTTCGTTGTTTTCAAGTATTCGAGTGTTTATCTAGGGATCTCTATTGTACATAATTATATATACAAACATTGCTCAAAATGTATGTTGTCTCTATGTTATTATTGTTTTGAAATATGTTACGATGATTGAATTGAAATACTCATTTACCCGTATTCATCAGACGAGATTAAGTATGGCACATTTTGTTTCTTTATATTCATTAGTTGCATCATCATCACGTGAAGTTCGGTTATTTTCTATATAGATGTGGTGTTAGTTATTTTAGAAACAGCAGGTCAATATTCTCTGAGGACGTCACTTAAATTGTGACGGAACAATATTAATAATCATCTCTGCCAAATGCAGTGATTTTTAGTCGACGATTTTCTTTTTTACGTTCCATTTTGTTTGCTATAAAAACAACATATTTTCATATCTAATTTATCGATAAAATACTTTTATTTCGGTTTATATGGAACTGAAAAAAGAAAATTGACCTCGACTTCCTCATCAGTTTATCTTTCTATAGTATGTCCATATAACCACATTTTCTTCTAAACAGAAGGTAATCACTTTTTCATATTACACAATACCTTTTTGTTAATGCATATAAGTACACATAATGCAATTGCTGTGAATGATGGTCTGTCATTTGCAGAAAATGTATTGTTATTTATCACATACCTGTTGAATCTTGTTATAGTAATACAAGCAATTTTCAGACCATGAAATACAACGTTCTGTATTGCAATGTTATATTTACCTACCAGCCGGAACTACTTTTTATGGGAATCCCCTTGTCATGGCGAACTGAACAGTTACCGGTATTTGCAAAAAAATATCAAAGTTTATAAAATCTTTGCATCGATCTCTACCAAATACGGAAGGTATGTGATAAAAGCAAGACAACACACTTGTGTTTTTCTAACGAATCAGAAAGCACTCATTTTTTGCGCGGACGTATATATATTTACTCGAGCGCTCCGCGCACTCGTGAATATATTCGTCCGCGCAATAAACTCGTGCTTTCTGAATTGTTAGAAAAACACAAGTGTGTGGTCTTGCATATGTATTCAAATAATGAATCTTAGGTTCGTGTAACAGAAATGTTGAAATCCAAGTGCTTAAATCCTTATACGATTACCTCCTCTTCCTAATTTCTAATGGAATTAATTATAAATTAAAACGCAGATTCGATTTTTTTTTATTATAGAATCTTAAGTAAGACAAAGACCTAGAATGAAATCCTGCATTACAAAATAAGGAAAAGGAAGGAAGGTAAATTGTATAAGGAATCGAGATGTATTACAACGAATGTAGAAATAGAAGGTTTCAAATTAGAAATATTAGGACTAATTACAATTAAATTTAGCTTTTGGAATGGAAATAAGCATAAGGAGTTAAGGCAAGTTAAAATTAAATTAAACAACATTGAATTCAACGTTAGATTAGTTGAGACAGATAGAAAATTCATGCTATAGCATTTGAAATGAGGAACTTGCATTTATGTTATTGGATAAGTTTCTTGGAGAATGGACCTTGTGAACTTTCCTTTCTGTCACTGCATTTTTGCCTATGTGCCATGTTATTCAGATATACGTTTCACGGTTTACTTTTCATCTTTAGAGATAAAGATTAATTTGCTTGTTTTAAATAAATTAGTATTGTTATTTCTTTGTCAGAGCAGAATAGAGATATAGAATTACCTATTGAAAGATAATATTACTCTCTTATAAATAAAATTCATTATCTTGATTATTAACAAAATCACCTGTATGTTTACAGGTATATTTGTATAGAGTTTTTTATAAGGTTACAGCAGTTTCGTGAAGCCTTTGATTAAAACAAGATTGACAGGTTGTAGTTTCAGATGTGATAGAACAGCTTAAATTATAGTATGGCTATATTTGCATAAAGTATTCATTGACCATACTGGCAACAAAATGTAATTGAAAAAGATAGATATGAAAACGCGTTATTAAGCCTTTTATTAAAGATATTTGCATTTTATATTTTGAAGACCTTTTTCTTAATGTCTCTTTTTATAATAACCGGTTTCGATATATGTGTGTGAGACAATATATATATTTCTACATAAGGTTTTCATTACAAAGACAACATATAACAAAATTCTCTATGAAAGTAATAATCTACATTAATTTCATATATGTCAATATATTGTAAATGCACGTTGTTTTTAATACATTCGTTATTTTAAAAGAAAAATTGAAAATACTTCTTGCTTTTCTTTACTTTTCTTTATTTCCTTGTTGTTGTTACACATTTATTTATAAAAGTTTTATACATTTCATACGAAATTCAGTCGTTAAGGCACCTCTGCCAAAACCGTTTTTTATGAATTGGAGGTTTTTCTTACTGGCATGATAGTAGCCTAAACAAGTTCTTCTGAAAACGGAAAAAAAATGCGCCTTGCAAAACTTATATGGAAAAGCAATATCGATGAAGTAAAGAAAACAGTGGTCTGAGATTTCAAAAAAAAATAACAGTAATGGTGCTAGTCGCCGTTCGACCCCTATTCATGTGCCTCCTTTCACAATTCGGTACAGAACCGTGTCAGCGGTAGTTTTATAGTTCAGTACCACTAAAGTTAGATCCGAATCAAAATGTTAGAAGAAGAATGCCCTATGTATACAAATACAAGTTAAACTCTCTAATATTTTGCAAGCAATGAGAAAGTCTTTTAGAGAGAAAATGAAAATTATTAATCAGTGAGTTTCCAATGTTCTTAATAACTATGTTATAGGTCAACATGATTACTGTGCGTATATCACATCTTACAACACGGAAAGATGTTCATATACGTAGCATAGTAGAATAAGATAGACAAAAATAAATCCTCGCCCTAGCCTTTCAGTAGTTAAGTCAATTTGGATTGCCATCTTTTTGGCCCCTAGCATCATCGATGAGTCCTAAAGAACAAAACAGCTGTATGATGCAATGTAATTCAAAGGCAAACTGTAATTATTACCAAATGTTAAAGGTGTTTGAAAGTTACGTTCATCATTAAATCTTTCTACCTAAAAGGTTCTTATTCTAATTTTAAACAGGAATACATGTACCATTTTCTATAAACTGACAAAAGGTAAATACGTTCTGACACATATTTATTTATTTATTTATATGAAAGGAAACATCTAAACTATGGGATACCA